TGTAGTAATGTACTAATCGGTAAGACACTACTCATTTTGGCACATCGCTGTTTGTCGGGTTTGCATTTCCACCCCCGTTGGGTCAGCCTTTGTTAGAAAGCATATGATCGCACGTGACATAGGGAAAGCTTCATTTGTCACCAATCACGTGGGATACACCAAATCGAGAAAACAGGAACGCCACCACCGCGAAGCAAGGTCACTTTATGTAACAACCCAATTATCCGACTTTCTCAGTTGCAACTCCCCCTTGATATATCCAACATTGGCAGTCAAGGGGCAATTGTGCGCATTGCCACCAACTCGCTGTTACGATACTTTATACCAGCAAACTGTAACCATGACGGACGAAACCCAGGTCGCCGACGAGGTCCCTCAGTTCTCCTTCAAAAAACGATCAGCTAAAGCCAAGGCCAATTTTCGCAAGAAGCCTGAAGCGCCGCCACCTGCTTCGGACTCCGATTTCACGTCATCCGATGATGAAGAGGGCCGCAGAATCAAAAGGCGACGCAAGAGCGCAGCAGTGACAGCCTCGTCTGCATCCAACGCACCCCGGAGGGACGGAGAACAGCCCGTCATGGCCACACCGACTCCATTGGCATCCAGCAATGATGCCACCAAGCATTCGAATTGGTACGATGACGAGTTGGACGCAAAGAATCTCTTGGGGAAGACACGGGCCCAGCCAACATCCAACGCCCCCTCTGTATCGGATGGTACGTACAAGGGCGCGGCCAATTACCAGTCTTTCATCCAAAAGAATCCCGATGCCCCAACAAAGCAGTTCGGACCGATCAAAGCCCCTACCAACATTCGTACTGTGACATTTATGGATTATACGCCGAACGTCTGCAAAGACTACAAACAGACGGGGTAAGTTTAACTCTTATCACACAGGCTCGTTTGAAATTTTATATCTAACCATAACTTAGCTGGTGCGGTTTTGGAGACTCGTGTATCTACGCCCATGTTAGAGAAAACGTCTTGCAGGGCTGGGAATTGGATAAAGAATGGGATAAAAACACCCAAGGAAAGAAATTGGATGGGAAAGTCGTCTCCCAACGTGGGGGTGACAAACTAAAGGATGACGACGATGATGACGAGGAGCTTCTCGAAAGCATCCCATTCGCCTGTATCATCTGCAAGAAGTCATATCAGAACCCGATTATCACCAAGTGCGGGCATTATTTCTGTGAGTCCTGCGCCTTGCAGCGATATCGGAAAAATCCATCATGTGCCGCATGTGGAGCTGGCACTGGCGGGGTATTTAACACCGCGAAGAAGCTGAATCAATTGTTGGACAAGAAGAGAGAGCGTGCAAAGAAACGCCGGGAGCAAGCCATAGCCGATGGCGAAGAAGTCAGCAGCGAAGAAGAGGAAGAGGCTGAAAACGTTTAGGGCAAGAAACCAGTGGGCGGAATATGTGATCTTAATTTATGGAGGCAATGAAGTCATGTCTATTGCAGCAGGTCTGCAATCTATGTATATATACTCTCACGGCTGCTCTAGGATATCAGCATTGAACAAAAGTCAGCTTATGAACAAAGCTCAAGGTTAGAATACCACTAACTACGTCGAGTACTCACCATCGCGGAGATTTATCCTCTTAACTAACCATGCACTAAGGACCGATATCTGGGCAAGCTACATGAAACAGTACTAAGTATTGAGTTACTGCATTTCCTAGTAGATTAGACACCTAATATAATATATTGTCCATCTGTGTCTCCTTTCTAGGATAATTTTATTGCCCCATTGTACCTTAGAGATAGATACCCATTTTAAGCAGCGACACGCAGTCCATCTGAAGGGTCACTCAGGTAAGATTTTCCCATGGCCCACATATCCGTAGTAGTCAGGTACTTAACACATACCTACACGAAACATATACCCTAGTCAAGGGTCTCTTATATAACTCCTTCTGAGAAGTATTCTTTGATGTCTCAGGCCAGACCTCTTCGACTTCTCTGCTCCCCGCCAGACAGAATCACTCTGTCCAAAGTTAACACTCAATATTGCATGCTCCCCTGCTGTGACTGATTAATGGGTACAGCTTTCTAGAAGTAACATTCTCGTTGGTGGACAATCGCACCGCGTTATACTCCCTCCCATTCCCTGACGTTCATGTCCAAGATCATGGAACCAATGAGTGATGTTCGATCAGTCTTCCTATAGCTGCGTTGTTCGTTCGGCTTCAGTACCATCTGCCCTGGGGAAGCGAAAACATAAAATGATAAGGTGGGACCTCGCCTTTGATTTGGTGGCCGTAAACAATCCAGTCGACTCGGGCCTTAACAAGCAAGCCTTTGTAGAGATCATCAATGATGCCGGTCCGCTATATCTAATCGCCATCGTTTCTTTCATAGTAGCCACAATCCTCCTCATTCATGGTGAGTTGAATGGGAAATGGAATAAGCCCTGTTCAGTTAGACCCATGAGTTACTATTACTCTAATAGACACAATGATACTCAAGTCAAAAGGACGAAGCCCAATAAAAAAAGGGAGATATGAAGGCCAAACAGCTGTATGGTTTCAGCTGTCACAGTGATAGTTCATTTATAGCCCTCGTTTTGTCATCCAAGTTGATGGACAGTATAATGCTGTAATGTAGCGAACACTAACTGTGGCCCTCAACGTAGGTCATCACATCGCAAATCTGGATGACTTTAGTAAACATGATCGGGCGTCTGAGAGAAATGCCAGCACAATCCCTGCAACAATGTCATTCTTCCATGAGCCTGTCACAAATTTATCTCGGGTGTCCCCCCTCCACTGCCGATAAGCACCTATGCCCACAACTCCATCATTAAAGGCAGGAATATAGATAAGCGACGAGCGGTCCAGATCGTCTTGTTAGCCTTCTGAGCGGGTTAGAGATGAGCGGTTTGCCGTGTCTGGCGAACTAGCCTACTTTTCCAAAGAAAATGGCCACCAAATTAATATTGAGACAAGTTCACCTTGCAGGGTTCGTTTGCATTTTGTTGGCTGGGAGTTATTCTCGTTTGTCAGACATTAAATCATCAGTTAATAGCATTCTGTCAGAAAGGTTTCACGCCCTATCAATAGCGCGGCACTCTCTCCTTGAGAGATATGGGGAAGTAATAAAATGGCCATTCAATGGTGTTGAGTATTATAACATGGACTCTGGCTCCAGAACACATTTAGCATGATATTGAATTAATGCTATTAGGACGAAACGATAGTAGTGGAGATAATGGATAGTTCTAGACGTGGAAGAACACCTAGACTAAGTACTAGTTGTACCTTCATGGAAGTGCCGTATTGGCCAGCTAAAAGAAAAACAGTTCTCTACTGTAACCTGAATACTAATTCATTCTGCTTCTCAATCTTCGGCTGTTTTCCTCCCCTTCCTCTCTCTCTCTCTATTGTATACATAAGTCGAATCGTAAACCCCCTCATGGTTGCATTATGGGTAGTACCAAACTTGAATAAAATGTCTGAACCTGAGCGTAGGGCATACTCTAGGCAACAGGGAGGATTTAGGGTAGCAACATGATGTTACCTAGGGTTCATTCATCACCGATACCACTCACATGTCAATGGCTGCCTATTTGAGCTGACATCGGTACATACTACTAGTAGGTATGCCACGTACTTTAATGTTTTGGTGGCCTTTCATTGGCGATGCAGAAATAGATCATTGCCATGGTTAGGAAAAGACATCGATTCGAATTGCTATGGCTGTGGAATGGGAGCCATGGGCTGACGGACCTGGAACCCTGCCGACTTCTGCTATTTTCAACTTTGGGGTTGATTTCCCCGCTCGCTTAAAAGTCCGGATCTGGTGTGACAGACTGATATGATGGTCCTCCTGAGTCTTGGGACTTGGTACGTACTACTAAATAGCCTAAGTTAACTTAACGACGCCACGTGCGGTCCATGGTTCTGTCAGCCAATCAAGCCCTCTCATTGGATTTAAGCTACGAAGCGCTTCCATTGGAGGTTCCAACGGTTCTCTTTCTTTGTTTCAGACCCAACCGTAGCTTTTTCCCCACGGTCAGTTGTGGGGGGGTTTCTATTCCAGTTCTTGTAAGGGTTTCAGTCTGTGTCCCACTGACAAACTTCGAGTCCAAGTTCAAGGGGTCGGGGTGTTGTTTCACTAACTTAAGTGGCAGAGGATCAAAGAAGGCTTGCCGAAAGTAACTTCAGTGTGCACTGCAGACAACTCTAATTAAGTGACCAGTGAGGGGAAGGACGGGGGTGCAACTAAGCCTGACGGGCCAGCGCCAAGCTTCCCCGCTATGCCCACCAGCACAGCCCCCTGGAGCCTATGATGAGCCCTCCCATAGTGGTGCCCTAGAGCTTAAAAAGCACTAACGCGTGGCCTAACAGTGGGGATCAGCACCTTCGACAATCCTTTTTTTTCCCTTCCTTCTCGAGCTTTTTGAGCGCTCTGACCTCTGATTTCTTAGGGCCGTTTGCCATCATGCGGTATATCCCCTCTCGGTCCATTTCCTTTCGTTTGGGAGACCCAGGCGCCCAACTCTTTTGAAAAATATCACCTTTATTCGGGAAGGCGGTGGCAGAAAATGGTGTGTAGATAGTCTAGATGGTCAGTAGCTGCTCCCTTTCTTTTCTTTCCAGAGCGCTGATTAACATTCCTATCTGCGAATCTGCCTTTTCTCTCTTGTCTCTCCTTTTCCATTCGATATTATTCTACTTCTTTTTTCTTTTGTTTTTTTTCCCTTTACTGAACTTTAATATACTAACCCTCACTTTCCTTCATTGTCAATTCCTTCTGACACGCTCACTTTTCGAACTCAATTGGTTGTCACCAGTATTCAGGTCTTCCAGTACTTACATGTATACTAGTCGTCAGTGAACATTCAATATCCTTGTGAACTGCGCTAGAACGAATTCGCCTTAAATACCGAAGCACCTCCCTTGGTGCGCTACTGGGTATCTGATATCCGAGTAATCACCGTGTGGCAAACGTCACGCATGAGCCATCGCTCATCTACACCCTCAAAACTTCACCATGAGATGCGGCTTTAGATTAGCATTATGCGCATGTCTACTGCTCATCATCCCAATATACATATTAAAGCTCCGTCTAGAGGAAATCTGCAGCCAGTATCGCGCCGGCGCATACTTAATAGATTGGCTGAACTCCAAGAAACCCCACCATGAGGGTCTATCCCACCACGCAAAATTGGGAGACAAAGTGATCGTGATGGCCAGGCTGGAAGAAGAGCCCACTGAATGGGTCGAGCAAGAACTTCCTGAGTACGATCCCCTCCCAATGGCCAATTGTTTCCTTCGCTAATAGGGGCCGCTTGAAGCTGGCAACGTGCAATTTACATTGTCAACCCCTCGAATAAAACGAAAGCAGATAAACACAAACTCAATACCTCTCTCAATAAAGGCCACGAATCTATGGCTTACCTGACGTATTTGATTGACAATTATGACAACCTTCCTTCCACAATCGCCTTCCTCCACGCCCACCGTGCCGGGTTCTTCATGGCTTGGCACGTCGATGCGCCTTTGCATGATAACGTAGCAGCAATGCGCGCTCTACAGCTTGATTTCGTTCAGCAGAATGGTTACGTCAACCTCCGTTGCAATTGGAACCCCGGATGTAAGGAGGAACACCGCATCAATCGCCATGTAACGCAAGAAGTCTGGGACGAAGTATTCGAGGGGACCAGCACCCCGCCCCTGAACTCAACCACATCTCCCGCCATCGCAGAAGGCCAGTCGTCAGAGGATCGACAAACCCAAAAGTTCCTCCAAGCGCCTCAACTTGTCGGCGCAGCATGCTGCGCGCAGTTCGCCGTGTCACGCGGGCAGGTCCTGAAACGACCCCGAGAAGACTACATTAAGTTCCGACAATGGGTCATCGACACGGAGAAAGACGACGCCAGTAGCGGGCGAGTCATGGAGTTCCTCTGGCATGTCATATTCGGCAAGGAGTCCGTATAGTAAGTGGCCATTGCACCAAATTATCTAATGGCAAAATAACTAACATGATATCTCCTCTAGCTGCCCAGACGAGGAACTCTGCTACTGCCAAGTATATGGCAAATGCTAGTATATTCCCGTTCTCAAGATATATATACTGTACATCAGCCACACCCGTTCGTATTATATGGGTTTTCTCGTAGATATTCGTCCCATAGACTTCTGTTTATTGCTTTGAGCATGCATTTCTGGGATTAGACAGGCGTTGTTAGAGGGCTTTCGTCCATTTGGATATACCCGTCTGTATCATCTTTGCTTCTGTTTCCCGGTACAGTTTAGAGAGTATGCAGATGTACTGAAATATATTTCCTATCCATATTCTATGATAATTCACACTAATGCGCGACTGCAACGCCATTCATACAATACATTGATGGGGCAACCGCCCTTAACTATGGTTTCGGATTCAGGTAAGATTATATACACGCGAGGACCAGAAGTCCCTGCAGCGTCTTCCCCATGCCAGGCACGAAATCCGGTGTCCTCTTGTTTACCCTTACAGATTCACATAGCCTATGTTTTAATACAGTAAATCTTTCCTCCGCTATCTTTGCCCCTTCCTTGACCTCCAGATAGTGTTTGGGAGTTTCGAACATGTACACAGTTGCTCTCCCCCGAGGTGACATTTTCAAGTAGGATTACGTAGGTAGTAGGTACTCTTGACAGTGTTCTAGTATTATGTATTTCTTATTACAAGTATAGAGAGCCCCTATCGGCTAAACTTTGTCTTGATTAACCAATACATAGCGTTGCCTCATTTCTGCTCCAGGTATTCCTCCACACGTTCAACGAGATCAGCTTTCTTCCCAGCAGCGGAGCGTCCATGCGCATTGAGGAAGTCTTTGAGGACAGGTACTGTAAGCTGCACATAAGCCACTTGCGTTAGTTACTCGTCCTAAGTACAGGCCTAAGGGGTAAGTAATAGTCACCTTCGATAGAGATCCCTTTTGGTAATGGGCTCGCACTACATCTTGAACGCCTTGCTCGTCTGTCTCCACCTTCGCTTTCTTGTATGGCTTCTGGGCTGCATCCTCGACTTCAGATGTTCGGTCTTTGGCGCTTCGTTTGGCGAGTGTGCTCTTCGGGCCATGTGCCGATATTTTCGCGTATTGCTTTTCCAATTCGTCGGCCCAAGACAATACATAGTCGCCCGTCCGCTAATAGAAGGTCAGCAAAAGCCCCGGAAAGAAAAGGGATGTGCGATATACCTTATCGATCTGCCGATATCTGGGTACGGTTTTGTCTTCTGGCTTCTCCGGGAGGTCTTCATCCAACGCCAGGGCTTGCAGAATGCGATAATGCCACTGGAGGGCTAACAGAGCAATGTGTTAATACCAGAGGTTTCATGCAACAAGTTGGCAAAAGCTTACATGGATTGGGATACTTGAAGGGGTCGTAAGACGCCTTTGGAAGTTGCAATTGCTGAACAATATACCGCATTTGGTCGATCAGTGGCTCAGGTGCAACATGAAGTGCGGCTTCGGGATTCTGACGGACATCATCGGCGAACGGTAGAGGTATTATCCACATTCCCGGGGGGAACTTCTGGACGCCGCTCTCATCTACTTTCTCTTCTCCAGCGATCATAGCCCCCAGAACTGGGCTTGCGTTTTTACGCGCAATGAACCAGACAAGTGCGGCCTTTTTATCCCGGAGGAGCGTCTGGTGCAAAGCAGAAAAGACTCGCGTGGAGCCCACAAAATCTTCCTCCGAAGGATAAATGAAGGAGGGGTGTTTGATATTGGCCCAGAATGGAAGTGCAGAAAGGGGCTTGAACCCAATTATACGGATGACAGGATCACCGAAGTTCCGCAGTGACTTCATCTCTTCAGGCGTGAAAGTAACCTGATCACCGCCGAACTTGTAAGCTTTCTTGATTTCCCACTTCTCAATCGTGCGAGCCGTGTCGTCAGCGATTTGAGTGGTCACTCCTTTCACGATTTGGGGTTGTTCACTGCCGAGCCAGATGAAGGAATTTCTGGCGGGGGCTTGACGCTTAAACAGAAGATATCCCGAGACTGATATTTTGAAGTTTGGTCCCAGCTCCAATGGTATGTTGGAGAACTGCGCACGCCGGGGGACAGATCTTGAATTAATACTGGACAATAGGGTATTAAGAAGTGAAATGCCATCTCCGGTAGCTGGAGAAGCCTTGGAATCGGTTTGCAAGTACGCCGGGGCATCTGGATCCGATGGAGAGGCCTTGTAGATGATGTCCTAATTGGTGTAAGCAGAGATACTTTGTTTCAAGTGAATAAAACCTTACATCATAGAATGTGGCGGTATCGAACTCATGATCTGGCCGAGAAATGGGAAACAGCTCAATAGTGACACCCAGGTCGTATAAGTCCTTTGCGCGAACAGTTGCAGCAGATCGCAAGCTTTTATTATCGCCATGAGGGTCATCATTATCGGTGACAATGAACAATCGCCGAGACAAGAAGTTGGGGGCTTTCGACGTAAATATTTGATTGGCGCAAAAGAGCACATTTGCCATCGAGACCCGCTCATCTGACGCTTGGAGTACATCTTCTGTTTCATCGTCATTCTGTGCCAGTGCTCGAAGATTCTTGACTTCTTGTGCAGAGGGAATATCCAGGTCTGTGAAAAGGTAACAGTGTGGGTATGAAAGGTCTCCTCGGCTATTCTCATCCTCGTCGTAGAATTTGGACGCCTGCGTCCCATATAGTAGCACACCGATCATGTCACGGGGATTAGAGATAATGCGCTGTTGCATGAGATGGTATGCACATTTTAGTGCGGCCGTTGTGGGTGACTCCGCGGATTTTTTTGAATCGGAAGATGGACGAGGCGTGAGCATGGAATCACTGACTTCGATAGCAAAGAGAACGGCATCTTTCACTGTTTTGTACCCCTATTTAATTCATAATTTGTTAGTTTTCGAAGTCTCCCGGCGTGTTTCGAAGTACATACACTCTCGTCAACCTCCTCCTCTTCCTCATCGATCTGGTCGTCTCCGCGATATTGATCCTCGTCAGCCATTGTGAATGCGTTGAGAGTCATAAGTCATAAAATGCGTCAAAGAAAAAGCAGTCAAGGACGATAGTTAAGTAATCGACGCGAAAGCACCCTTGAACAGCAACATTGGGACTTCCTTGGATGTCTGCCTGTCACTCTGCTGCCTGCGTTCCCGCTCTTTCGTCACCCGTGACGCGACACTTCAACCGGCCGACGCGGGGAAGACACGAACGTCAGGTGACATACGCCAAGACTTGATGACCCCAAGTCAATTCTGATTGGGTGTTAACTTCAGCTCCAACTCATGCTCCGGCTCCGTCATTTTACCGGTTCTGGACTCTCTGCTTCAAGTCAGCACCTTTTCTGATTACTATTGACCCTTGCCACATGGCCCATTAAAAGTTCTATACCCTTTTTGCTCCCAGACCATTACTTTGTTATCGCCTTTATTTGCACGCTTTGGCCATTACTCCTCAAAAAAGGATCGTCTTGCCATCTATCAATTGCAATGGCCCTCCGCCGGACCTTCGCGCTTCCTCGGCAACTACTGCGACCGGTAGCTCGCAGCTCGCTTGGATACAACACAGAACAGCGAAATGGCTTTGCAACAGCAGTACCTCCGGTCACTCAAGATGCAACTGGTTCCAAGGGTCCTACCGCAATGGTGTTCTTGAACATGGGTGGCCCCTCTACGACGAATGAGGTGGAAGACTTTTTAAGCAGGTTATTTGTACGTTTCCAAACTGACAGACATTCTCATGGGCCACTTTTAACGTTTCGCTCGCTCTCTGGTAAAGGCCGACGGTGATCTGATTCCCTTGGGACGACTTCAAACATATCTGGGACCACTTATTGCAAAGAGGAGGACGCCAAAGATCCAAAAGCAATATGCGGACATTGGGGGCGGCTCGCCCATTCGAAAATGGTCCGAATACCAGTGCCAGGAAATGTGTAAATTACTCGACAAACTCAACCCTGAAAGTGCGCCTCATAAACCTTACGTTGCATTTCGATATGCTGCGCCTTTGACGGAAGAGATGTATACACAGTTACTCGATGATGGATTCGGAAGAGGAAAAGGAGGACGTGCTGTCGCATTTACACAGTACCCACAATATTCCTGTTCGACCACAGGCAGTTCTCTGAACGAACTATGGAAATGGAGAAATCGCCTGGAGGGTCCGCGCGCCAATGGGAGCGAGGATCCCTCCGGCTCCATCCAGTGGAGTGTCATTGATCGGTGGCCGACCCATCCCGGGTTAGTAGAAGCTTTCGCAAAGAACATCGAGGATCAGCTCAAGACATATCCGGAGGAGAAGAGGAACAGTGTGGTCCTGCTGTTCTCCGCCCACAGTTTGCCAATGAGCGTGGTGAACAGAGGTGAGATTCGAGTCATCGCTCTAATTGCTAGACGTAAACTCTAACTCCAGATTAGGTGACCCGTACCCAGCCGAAGTTGCAGCAACTGTCCATGCGGTAATGCAAAGACTTGGTTTTAGCAACCCTTACCGGCTGTGCTGGCAATCTCAAGTGGGCCCATCGGCTTGGCTTGGAGCTCAGACCAGCGACACTGTCATGGAGTATGTGAAGCGCGGGCAGACTGATATAGTCCTCGTACCGATCGCCTTCACCAGCGACCACATTGAAACTTTGTATGAGTTGGACCTTGAAGTGATGGAAGAAGCCAACTCCCCTGGCGTGAAGCGGGCGGAAAGCTTAAACGGAAGCCCCATCTTCATCGAAGCCCTAGCGAATATCGCGCAGGAGCACTTGAGAAAGGGAGAAAAGTGTTCTCGTCAGATGACCCTGCGCTGTCAGGGATGTAAAAGTGAGAGATGCCTGGAGCAGAAGAAGTTCTTTGCCGGGGAAGAAGCTGCGTCTCTTGTAGTGTAACGCCTTTTTTTTTTTCTTTTTCTTTTTTCATTCTTTTTATAAAGCCCCTTCATGTTGTTTATATTGTGTACTTTAAGATTTTTGGAAAAGGATAATTCGCCATTCTCAAGGACATGGGTGATAAGCAATCAGCGATAGTAGTGTACGGAGTAACTAGTAGGTGGTATTTCTTGGTTTTGAGACTTGAGTATAAACGGGGCACCGAAATCTTGGGTAAATGATTATCAAGGGGTCAATGGCTTGACGCTGCTGCTACGATTGGCCCCAGGAACAAAATGCCGAACATTGAACACCTCGGCACCCGTTAGCCTGGTCAACGTCATGGCTGGCTTATCTGTTGCCTTTGCTCTCTCCACTTGTTCTGCTAAGCTAAGCTGACAAACGCTCCCCTCATTGACTTCTTCAGTCCAGGGAATCCCGATACCAAGGAATAATGCCATTGGTATTTGGGAATCATGAGTGAGACATTGCTTCTGTCAAGGTGCTTTAAAAGTAAAGTCTGTCAGAACAATCTCTTTTCCCCTTGCTTCCTTATTGCATACCACATTTCTAAACACTACACCTCAACACGCGGGCCGAACCTACATAAAAACTTAAGCCATCGACGTCTATAGCTGTTGATACTCTTTTGCCAGAAATGGCCAATCAAACAAATTCTTCCATCCATGCGGATGTTGGCGGGCAATTGCGAAGCAGGCCAGTCGCCTCTGGGCAGAATCATCCGCGAAACACTGGTGAAGATGACCCAAAAGACCCGGCGCAATTGCACGTCCATGAGCAGACGCCCCTCCTTCAACGAACGAGCGAAGAAGGTGAGGATGAAGGCTTAGACTCATCTAGCCAGGATTTGGCGGCGTTGAACGCTGGCCTCTGGCGGTCCCGGACAAAAGCAAGTGTGCGTATTTTTTCCAGTGCAGTTCAGCAGAAAGTGTCGCGTTCTGATCCGACCAGGTCTTTTGGTTATTCCCATTCCTCCTCTTGTATATGTTAGGCTTTGGCGGTGCTGCGGTTCCCAAGATTAACCTGATGGTCTCTCTCACCTGCAGAGACTATCTGGCCAAAAGAGCCTCTAGCGATCCTGGATTCACATACCTGCCTGTTCTTCTTGGACAGGACAACTCCCAGTGCCAAATACCGGAAGTTCAGTCCCTCGTTGCCCGCTTTCAACTGTATTACAATCTGGTAGTAGGTCTGCTGTCGGCACTGATTAGCCCTCAATTGGGCCATTTATCGGACCGCTATGGAAGAACGTCTATGATTGCTGTGAGTGCAATGGGAACGGTACTAGCAGAGATAATTACCGTCATCGTGGCAGCAAATGCAGAGCAAGTATCGATATATCTACTGCTTCTGGGCGCTACGTTTGACGGCTTAGGAGGCTCATTTACCGCTATGATGGCCCTGAGCACCTCGTACGCCTCTGATTGTACCATTTCGGGGAAACGCAGTGTAGCTTTTGGGTACCTGCATGGCGCCATCTTCACTGGAGTTGCAGCTGGGCCGTTCCTTGTGGCTATACTGATGAAGAAGACACACGATATAATGAGTGTATTTTGTTCTGCGCTGGCTCTCCATGTGCTTTTCTTCTTTGTTGTCTTGCTCGTCGTCCCAGAGTCGCTGTCTAAGGAGCAAAAGCAGAGAGCTCAGGAAAAACATCAGGTGAAGCTCGCCCATCAAGAAGATGTAGGCTGGTTGTCAATGAACTTTTGGAACCCGATGAAAATCATCGCGCCTCTGGCCGTCTTATTTCCACCGGCTGGGCGACCTAGCACTCTGTTCCCTAATCCCGGGGGTGCCAGTCCGGCATTGCGAAGAAACATCATCCTGCTCTCTGTGATCGATACGCTTCACCTCGGTATGGCCCTAGGCACATCACAGATTATTATTATCTATGCGGGATATATGTTCGGCTGGGGAAATGTCGAATCAAGCATATTCGTTTCCATCATCAGTTCCGTTCGCGTCCTCAACTTCTTCATTGTGCTCCCCATGATCACAAGGATCTTCCGTGAGGAACCAAGGGAGGACCTGGTTATTTCTGGTTCCGGTGTGCTTGATGTCGTCCTTATTCGTGTCTCGATTCTGCTGGATATGATTGGGTTTGCAGGATTTGCACTGGCAAATCACGGCTCGCTTTTAATCTTGTCGGGAGTCGTTACATCATTAGGGGGCATGGCCGCACCGGTGCTGCAATCGTCTCTTACCAAACACGTACCCCGCGATCGCATAGGACAGATACTCGGTGCTAAAGGCCTTCTACATGCTATTGCTCGAGTAATAGCTCCTTCCATCTGCAGTTTCATATATAGTGTGACGGTGGGTAAGTTCTCACAGGCAGTGTTTGTATGCCTGTCACTTGTGTTTGGGATTGCATTTTGTTGCACCTTATATATCAAAGCGCATGGTTCGTAACGTCTTGAGGCATTGCTTGTGATCTCATACTAACGTACAGCAGTTCGACTTGATTTTGACGATTCAAGAAATCATAATATCGATACCGATGACTACAGAGAAGCAGTTGAGGATGAACTTTTGCCTTAATATATAGAAGCTTCTTGATACCCCGATATCTACTTTGTGATATATCATGTATCTTAGGGGCTAGATACTCCTATCCACGCGAAACTCATGTTAGTTCTATAACACATAACGTTGGGATATAGTTTCAACTCTAAATTTCCATCCCCAGCCCTAGTAGTCCAGGGTTGCAGCGTGGATGCAGACCATACCAGCGGATCTTGTTACGGGAACAGAACGTAGCTAAAATAGCCATATCTGGTCGAGGTACGGAGTAGAGGGAGTGTAGTTTACTACTAGTAAAGTACCTATACCTGGCGGTGAAAACTGCCCATCCACATTCCAATGACTCAGCAGGAACAATGCAAGGTCACGTGCAAAGGAAATGGGTTCACCCGGAAAGGAACGAATGGGACCACAAGCGGTACGGCGGCCGGGAGAAACCAATGTTACTTGCAAACTTTCCGCCGAAAATCATCTATCTCAAAACTCCGACCGTCAATTGCGATAGTTCCCCAGCGTGGTCTCTTGGCTTACACTACTGAGAATTGAGCATCAATCTCTCAATTCCCCTGATGCTCTATCAGTGATATCCCAATTTGCCTGCTGCCGGCGGTGCACAGGTCCTATTGCCATGATCACCAAACCTACCCACGGCACTTCGGCCGTACCTTCTCGCAATGCCCTGCGTGTCCTTCGCAGGCTGGCCCTTGCCGGCTCAACTGTGGGCAGTTTCTGTACCGTTGCGGCTATCACATACGATGTCCATCGCCGAGTCCGCGTCGCAGAACGTATAATTGAGAACAAACGCGCCCTTCAAACCTCCGCACCTAATTACGATGCCACTTCCGCGGCGAGACGACTTGCTCGTATGATGGAAGTCGCAGAGGCTGGTGAATTCACCAGTATGCATGCATTCAAAGAGGAGGATCGGAAATCACGACAAGCGCAGAACTTGCATGTGGAGGGCAACGAAGGGAGTGAACGTGATGAGCTCGGCTCGAATGCAGGAGTTGGGTCTTTTGAGAACCCAGCCCAGGTCGACGCTTTCTTGGATGCTGCTCAATTAAATTTAGCTGGGTTAGTGAACACAAAACAGGATACAGTGAAACCAGGTAGTTGCGACTTTCTTCCGCCTGAATACACGCGACCTACGGAGAACCCCAACAGGTCCAGCCCTGTCATTGGCAAAATCGACACCTTTGCAAATGCATCTGAGTCGATGGATGTCACGGGTACATTGCAGGAAGGACAAAACTCTATCCCGAAGCAAATGCAAGATCTTCTCGATCGAGGGCGGCCTATTGACGCGGCGCAATTATTCTTGGACGCACACCCTGCGTCACTGAATGGCCTATCATCCGATAGGAGAGAGCTTGCGGTGCAGGCATTTTTTGTCAACTGTAAACAGGAAAATGTGTTCATCGCAAGAAGCATCTTCGAGCGCTTGGAGGAGGTGGACAAGGTCTCACCCAGACTTTGGAAGGTTCTCATGTTTGCATTAGCACGGAAGGGATGTATAGAATCAGTCGCAACTATCTATACTCGGTACATGCACAAATTTCAGCTCTCGCCGGATATGGTAGATGTGGTGCTACGATGCTTGCTTGAATCACATAGGCTCACAACAGCGAAGTGGTTCCTTTTTAGGCATCTGCAATTTGACCGGGATTGCGGCTTGTGTGGCGCATATCTGTCAGGCTTATGGAAAAAGACGAGGAGTATTGAGCTTTTGAACGGACAGTTGAAGAAGATCTTAACGACGCTTCCCCGTTTGGGAAAGGATCCTAGCGACAAACTCTTCAACCCAGTGGTTAAGGCATACGTTGAGTTTGGCCGGTTAGCAGACGCCGAAGCATTGGTGGAAGATATGACAACTACATACGAACTTCCCCTTCGCTGCCGCACAAAAGGCCTTCTCGTATACGGCAAGGCTCTCGCATGTGACTGGGAGGGCGTGGAAGCAGACCTTCAGGAGATGCACGAGCTTAATTTAACATCTCGAAGACGTGATTTTACCCCTATTTTTGATCGCATATTCCTTGAATATTGGGTGTCTCATTCAGGGCGCGAGATCCAGGACTTCGTCCACCGCTACATCGATAAGCTCAATATCGTCCCCGATCGGATCCTGTACAAGCATATTCTGGAAGCATTTGTGGAAAAGGGCGACAAGGACATGATAACTGAGTTCACAAGAATGGCACGCGAACGTGGTTGGAAAGTCCACGTCAATGAGCAAGAGTTCCTAGAGATGCTACGGTTTCGTCGTTTAGCACTTGAGGGAGCGCCCGTGGGCTTCTGGCAAATGCTGCAGGCTGCTCGGGTAAAATATGGACAAGCTGCTACCTCACAGCAGATTCTCGGTTACGACCAGCGCTCATTCCCTATTCCCGAGGTCAATACGATGCCTTTCACACAAAGTTCGCTGCCGTGGTATCAAAGAGCACTGCAGGATGTAACACCGTCAAAGCCCGTCGATCAGTACCAGAAGCTTCATAAACAGATGACGCATTATATGCACGTTGGGAAGATGACAGAAGCTCTAAAGTGCTTCCAAAATGCAAAGAATGCACGATTCCAGTTCAAACAGCTTCACGTCGAGTTGGCTGCCATTGCGACTCTACTTGAGCACGGTCTTGGCGAAGCTCGCGTGCTTGTCGAAGCTGAGTGGCGGGGCATCCGACATCTAATTCGATTCTTCCCTCAGTTCTTTCGCCAGATCATGGTAGTGGACGCTGCGTCGGAAGGGGACCTGATCAAGATGGCCGTCCTTCGGTTTTACCAGCTCTGCTGGTCGAACAAGCGAATGAATGTCAAGCACCATATCGCGGTGGCCACCAGTAGACGGTTAATTGTGCATAACAAGCCGGAGATAGCCATAGATCTCCTAGCGGCCATTTACATGTCCCGCTATACCCGCACGTTACCTTTCGATGGGGTCTGCATGAAGATGTTTTTGCGTGCGTTCGCGGCTATGGATAACATTCCCGGGGTTCGATGGTGCATCCTTAGTGGCCTTGCTCGGGGCAGTGCACTGAATCATGATCTTGTGGTTGAAGTCAGCCGCGTCATGGGAGTATTAAATCGCAAGTTCAGTCCTGACGGCCTCTCCACGAGGGAAGTGTCCAAACGGGCCGAGCAACTGGAGTATCTCGGACACATCGCCGACATGCTCGAGAAGAAGAGTGGCGGTGATCCTGCATTATGGGAGCTCAAAAGCAACCTGAACGTGAAGCGGACCTTCCGGCGGATGCTGAAACGGCCTCTTGACGAGAGGCGGATGTATAAGGTATCTGACATTCCAGAGACGATCGAGAGGTGGGACGAAGAATACGAATTGGAGGTACTTCTGGGTCGAATTGAGATCAACCCGAAGTCCATCGCTGCTCGATGGAATGAGCGAGTGGCCTTAGGGCAGATATGAGTCGAGGATCCGTCGTGATGTAGCATATATTCCCCTTTTGATTTTTGATGTACTCCTAATTTCCTTGCGTTGGTGTGTTTCCTTCTATTTTCTTCTATTTTGTATAGAATTGTATATATAGAGTTGCTTCACCGAGATGTACACTAGCGATATGGAACTATTTCCCAAGCCGACTTCTAGCCCTGCGTATCACATGTCAGGAGCCAATCAAGGAGGGTGAAATGAATATTATCATGTAGTAATAAGAACCAGGATGAGCGCTATCTTCACGAAGATCGTACGGTGCCTCGTACTTTAGGGGCAGCGGAGTTTAAGGGCGGAAAATCTTTCACATGTCACGCCACTGCGCCGATATCACGGGCCCTTCGTTGCCTTAACTTTTTCAACGTCTTTTCCTCCCCCCTTACTTATTTACACTGACTTCCTCCGCTCGCATTCCCTCTCCGTCTCTCCCGGCCAATTGTCCCTCGAACCTTCTTTCCAACCCCGGGGAAGGAATATGCTCTGCGGTCCCCGTCGATTCTGCCCAATTCGCTGACCTCCCTCGACCTCTCCCCCGCACAATGGCCACCGCCGTCCCTAACGGCCATGCTAATGCGACCCAGCCCGCCGATGCGGCCGAAGAACGCAGACGAGTTCACCACGACGCCGATGTTGTGATCGTGGGCGCCGGAGTGCTAGGATGTGCGCTTGCAGTTACACTGGGAAAACAGGGCCGGAGCGTCCTACTGCTGGAAGCCTCTATGAAGGAGCCGGATCGCATCGTCGGCGAGCTCTTGCAGCCCGGCGGTGTCCAGGCCCTGGAGCGGTTAGGCCTGGCAGAGTGTCTAGAGGGAATCGACTCAATCCCCTCGTACGGTTTCTATGTGTCTTATTTCGACCGATCCGTGACCATGCCTTACCCCAAGGAAACCCCGTCGTCGCCACCTCCGCGCGGCCGCTCCTTTCACCACGGACGGTTTATCATGAAGCTACGGGAAGCAGCTCTGGCCTGCCCCAATGTTACTGTCGTGGAGACCAAGGCGACGGACCTGATCACTTGCTCGCATACCAAGCAGGTTCTTGGTGTGGAGTGCCAAACCAAGGGGAAAAAGGATTGTTATTTTGGGCACCTCACCGTCGTCGCCGACGGCTACGCTTCCAAGTTCCGGAAACAATACCACTCCAATACTCCGACGGTCAAGTCCCGATTCTGGGCTCTCGAACTAATTGACACGAAACTCCCTGGACCTAACCACGGACACGTCCTCTTAAGTGCAAATCCCCCGATCCTCCTCTACCAGATTGGCACCCACGAGACCCGGATCTTGGTGGACATCCCAGAGAACCTCCCATCTGCGTCGGTCAAGAATGGTGGTGTCAAGAATCACCTGTGGAACGTGACCCTACCATCTCTCCCCGAGTCTGTCCAGCCAGCCTTCCGCGCCGCACTGGAGAAGGGCCCGTTGAGGTCTATGCCGAACTCATTCCTTCCCGCCGCACAGAACAAGACCCCGGGGCTGGTGATACTGGGCGATGCGCTGAACATGCGGCATCCGTTGACCGGTGGCGGCATGACTGTGGCCTTCAACGATGTACTTGTGTTCCGGGATCTGCTGAGTCCCGAAAAGGTCCCCGATTTTGCAGACACCGACAGGGTGTTGAAGCAGCTGAAGTCCTTCCACTGGAAGCGGAAGAACGGATCCTCTGTCATTAACATCCTGGCCATGGCGTTGTACGCCTTGTTCTCTGCCAATGGTTTGTTCCCTTACTCGTATACCGTATCTTTATCCAGCCAGCTACTAACATACTGCTTAGATGAAAACCTTCGCGTCCTCCAGCGAGGTTGCTTCCACTACTTCGATATGGGCATGTACTCCGAGCCAATGGGGCTCTTGGGCGGCCTTATCAAAAAGCCCTTTGTACTATTCTACCATTTCTTCACTGTCGCGTTCCTCTCCCTCTGGGTGCTTCTCCGTGAGGCTCCTCTGTACCAGCTTCCCTGGTCACTAATCAGATGCGTGATGGTATTCTGGACAGCTTGTGTTGTTATATTCCCCTACATGCTCATTGAAGCATTCTGTTAGTATAATTAGACCTTTGTATGCGTTTCCCCCCCCCCCCCCCCCCTTCTCTCTCTCCTTTTTTTGTCAGAGCGAAACGATCTCTTCTCGTCCAAATTATCACGGCTTTGTGTATGATACGAGTTTTACTACGCTTGCCTTCTCACACTGTAGTAATACTTCCACTTCCCTTCTTGACCAAACCGCTTATGATTTATCTGCTTTTATTGAGTTAGCTATCCTCCCACAGCGATGATAGATCGGAGATATACAAGAGCATGTACATATATCTACAGAAATACGCAATTAATATATACTGACCACGTGAAATCCGAACGCCAGTCACTATAAATAGAACCCCAACGAGTAAAACTAACACATGACAACGATCATCACAACCCGGACAATATCAACGGTTACATCAGGGTCCAAACCTAGCAACATGAAATCTACCCCTAGATACTTACCAGGATCCTCCTTCCAGCGGCACGCATGTGATCGTCTCAACCAAAGTATAGGAAGCCCACGGAGGAGTCTCGATCCCCTCGAACCGTCCCAAGGACAAGAACAGAAATACCCATCTCGCTTCTCATCCAGTGTGAACTCCACTCGCTCATAGACGGGTTTCGCTATTTCTCTGCGTGAAAATCGATGTTGAAGACAAGGTCAAGATCTACTGCGTTAACTATGTATGAAGCTGACATAATAGGCCTGGACCTACGATCGATGTTCTGGAATGTCACATATTCACTCGTATTGCGGGGTATGTACATCTGCATCCGTGCTCTGTAGGTAGAGTATGATTCGGTGGTTGGAGTTTGGGTCTGGGTTGGTTTCTGCCAGGGGTTGGCTTTCCTGGATAGTACCTTCTATTTTAAATAACTTGGGAGATTTTTATATTCATATAGGTATGTATGTAAGTATATACATATTTGTGCTCCTATGTTAAAACAAGGAATAAGAACACATACCTAATATAGCAATGACTCCCCCTCCAGAGTAACATTCCAGAGAGACAAGTAGTAAGGTTTGCAGACCTTGCATGCTTAAAATGCAGGTATGAAGTGTTCCTACATGTTTATATTCTTCTGACTTATCACAGCCATTGAAGGTTTGTTATCTATCCCCGTCTGGGACATATTCAACAAACATCAAACTTTTGGTTGGAGAGGGTTATTGAAATAGTCGCCTATAGAAGTGTCAATAATAGAAGCAAAAGCGATGTCACTATTAATCCGACCTGTCAGTAACCGCCGCGTGACGGATCAATCTAGTTAATCACATCGAGTCTAGACTTTTTTCCTTTGATGATTGGACCTTAGTTGATGACAGTATCTGGTACCGGACATTTTCTCATTTTTATCATTTTTCTCTTTATGTAAATTCCAACCTCTACTTTGAACCGGCGCCCAATCCAGACTGGACTCGATCGACATGATATGTAACAAAAACAGGGACAAATTATCTCTCAGAAAAGGAGAGAACGCAAAATATAACACAGAAACAATGACCCACTCGCCTGGCACCCTGCTATGATGGTATATGGACAATGATAATGATGATGATCATGCCGTTTGGATATAATCTGGAACAAACAAATGAAACAAGTAAAAGAAATTAAACACAACCAGCAGCAGTGGGTAGGAACGAAACCGGTCAATCAATCAATCAGTCCGTAATATCGAAATCAAAGGTGGATGTTTGTATGTATAAGTAAACTCGTTTAGTTTTGCTCGCTCTTGCTGTTCTCCCCTTTTTGTCTACCGCATTCCTCAGTTCGAGTTGAACCTGCTGGCGGTAAATGCCTCGGTGGCGACGCCTTTTCCTTGTCAGGAGTCCGTCGCAGCATAAGTGTGCAACAACAAAGGTCTTAAAAGAGAATAACCTGTGTGAAGCGCGGCCAGACATAACCCAGAATCAACTCGAAGCTCGATGGCTCCCCAAGGAGACGAGGCAAGCTCCAAAGGACACAGCCAAGGTCAAGAGCCATGTATCGAACAAGGATATAAAATCAGCGAACAGATATCATATGCAATTATGCAACTCACGCAAATAACCCGCGAACCAATTGTAACCCAGCCAGACCCCTCAACTGCCAAATTCCGTTATTTGACCTTGCGAAACGCCAATGTTGAACATGAAAAGAGCAGGGGCAAGACATAGACATAGACACAAGAATAAGAAAAAGTCGTATACCTGCCATTCAAAAGCAAAAGAAACAGTTCAACCGAAATTATGTCATTTTCAAAGAGGTATTGCCTCATTTTATACAGCGTCAAAGGATCCAGTTCAACTGACTTGAACTCCTTTTGACGATAATTTTGGGGTAACGTTCGATGGTAAGTCGAACGTCTCGGTAGTTTGCTGCGACAAACTGTACAAGTGCTATTGTATAGCACGAACTGCTGATATAATCGCATCGTGAAAGGTTGATCCAGAAAGCTCATGGTGAAGTTGAGATGCTGTGAACTCCAACAAGTAATCCTAGGTCCGCTCATCTCAATGGCATGTGACACATTCTGAACATTCGTAATTCATGCTACTCGGTGCAAATCCAATGAAGAGTTGTAGACGATCTCCTCAGGGCCTTCATCCGCCTTTTCTCAGAGATTCATCCGCAGGGAGGGGCTCGGCACCGCCATGGAAACCGTGGCGGTTTTCCGCATTCGACCTGGCATTCTTCTTCTGCTTCTTTTTGGTTGTCTGCCAGCCACTACTTGCGTGGTTACCATGAGAGTCGTGCGTCGTCGAGCCAGTGCCATTCGTCCGTCGTGTGGGATGACCGCCATTCCGTTCTTTGTCGCCTGGCCCACCAGCGTGGTGGGAATTGTCGGAACGGTTTTTGGGTTTCGACTTATGAGAGTTTCCATTGAGCTTCTCCGGAACATCAACGCCATTGGGTCTGCGTTTACCATTCGACGAGCCGTGTAGCTCGGGTCCGGACACCCCCTTCTCCGCGGTCGTATGCCTGAAACGAGACGAGTCCTTGTCCAATGTTTCCTGGTGAGAAAAAGCCGCCTTGTGCTTTTCCGGACCAGGCTTCGACAACGGCTCTGTCGTTTTCTCACTGTTCGAGAGATGTAGACTTTGTAGACGGCTTGACAGCAGACTGGGCTTCCCACCGTGTCCGTTGGTCAAAGCGTCGGCTGGTTTCCGAGTGTCGATTCCTTGTCGGCTGAAGTACGGAGTTTGATCAGTTTCCACCGAACTTGTATCTTGATAATCTTGAGAGAACGCGTCGGAGACACTGGCGGGAGTATCAGTATTGTGATCATCCGAAGTCGATGTGCAATGGCTCATGGCGCCACAGGGGTCATAGTTCTCGGCAGAGATAGCAGTATTGCGCGGTTCAGTCAGAGGCACGGACCCGTCGACAATTAAGGGACCACCCGATGCCATGGGTCGTGCCGTTGCCCGCTGCTGCGTTGACCCAACCTTAAAGGCCTGCGTAGAGCCGCTGTCCGGAGAAGAACCGAATGCTTCATGGGGGCCGAGTGTGGACAGATACTCGTGAGAGTTGGTAACGAAGGGCATGATGGTGCCGTTCGGCAATGCTAAGCCTACTGGTGTTTGCAGTGGAGACAACATGGCATTTTGATGGTATGTCTGCAATTGTGGTGAGGTGGCAAGGTAGTAGGTCATATACTCGGTTGGCCGACTTTCATCCAAGTATGGCGAGCGAGACACATTGGGCATACTACTAGGCATGAAGTTGCTGTCTTCTTCGCTCTGCGCACCATCAGGGGATGCAGGTGTATTACGCTGCTTTGAACCTTGTGGGGGATCTTGCGTCATGGAGTATATTGGGGCAAAGCTCGGAAGAGAGTGAACCGACCGCGCGGGCTGTGACTGCGCTCTGAGAGATCCGCCTGGGGAGCCGTTCGCAACTGACGATCGTCGTGGATTGCGCCGAAGCTCTGGCATAGCAGTTGGCGCTGATGGCGATGGCGGATTAGTTGTGCTATTGCCTTGCACGCCCGTGATTGTAACCGGAAGGTACGGGGTGCCGTAGTAGACATGCTGGCGGAGCTGCGTTCCGTGCGGCGCGTGGTTCGCTGTTCCGGACCTTGAGCGAGAGTTGTCGTCGCCGGTTGACTCCTGTTGCTGAGGCATCGGAAACTGCATGAATGGCTGACGGATAAGCACAGGTGGCGGTCTCCCGGTGAGAAGTGCTTGATTTTGAAGCTGTAATCGAAGTTCCTGTTCCTGGGCTTGGAGGATCTGAATCTGCTGGTAGAGATGGTCATGAAGAAGATATTGAGCTTGTTGCGCTTGCAGAGATAGTTCCGATGCACTCATACCGTTGCTGGCTTGGCGGAAGTTATTGGACTTATGCGGCGTATTTGAAGACCGACGGCTGCCATTGTGTCCACCACGAGGGTATTGGTTCGAATGTCGCCCACCACGGCCACCACCACGACCGCCCCGGGAAGACGGAGGTGCCGTGAGAACAGGTCGCGGTTGAGGGGGCGGCCGCTCCCACGACCGCTCTTCCTCGGGTGGATACTCGTATTGCTCACAACAGAGCTCAAGATCTCCTTGCGACAATGCCTTGAATGCTCTCCGTAGTTCGAGATGAACGCCTCTGAAGGATGTATCATCCGCAGTATTTCCCAAATTTCTCGACGTATTGAAAGGCTCTTCCACGCAGAGGCGATTATTCTGGAGTAAGTGCCACCCCTTGGCTTCCTTCGAAATCAGCTTACCCTCTCGAACGGATACGACATACTTTTCGTAGTTGAGCTCGTGGCCATAATACTTAAAAAAATGGAAAAGCAGGTCGCCCAAGCTTTGCTTATTTTTCCGTCCGTACCCAGCCAGATTGCTAACGTCGTCATCAAATGAGCAAACCAATCCTTCAGGCGAAATCTTCTTCTCATGGGGCCGAGCCTGAAGACTGGGGAGAATTGGAGGGTCTCGCGTTTGGAGGAAATTAATGATCAAACATATCCATGTATAGGAGCTTAATGTGCCACCCAATCCTGGGACAAATCGTCAACACCGAGGACTTTAGAAGAAATAAAATGCTGCTTTGAACTTCCCCACGGTTGAAACATACCGGCATCGCAGAGTATCCTCCGTTTCGTCCAATGTTTGATGATCATAGCCAATGGCCTCACACGCTCGTCAATCTCGACGTAGGTCCTAACCATACGCGTATTGTCCAACGCCAATGTGTTGTTCACGTTCATGTCGCAGGCTAACTGTAACTCCGGATCCCAGATCTTCACGATGGGAACTTTCGCATGAGATACACAAACGACCCGTTCCATGCCATCTATCAAAGATGTTAGCTGGGGATCGGGATCGGGATCTGGAGGAATCAAAGGAATTCCCTTACGCCGTGCAAGAACCTCCGCTAGCAAGCAGACATGCTCGAGCTCCTTATATGTCGTTGTTATACAGATGTCCACTGCGCCAAATTAACCCACGCACTGCAAATTACGCAACCTGTACATACCATCCGAGTCGCTTGAACAGAGTTTATTCCCCGACGACCCAAAAACATGGACCTTAATATCCCGACCAGGCCATTGTTCGTTGAATAGCCTTTCCAACTTGCGAACAAGTTGGCGTCGTCGATCATCACTCTCCGCAGACGGCAGTAATCGATCATATACCTCCAGCATATCGTCGGCGAGTCTCTTCTCTTCCTCCGGCTCCAACCGTTCCTTGAGACCCTCTCTTTCCTCTGGCAACAGATCGGCACCCAGGCTATACGGTATCCTTCTCCGGAAGAAGGCCATGGCGGTTTCATATTTACATCCAGAGAACGGTTTTCGTAAGGATGGCGGTAGGTGCGTGGACTCGGAATGGGTTGACCGAGGGGAAGTGCTTCCGTGCGGAGGGGAGGGGGATCGGGAGTGGAAGGAGAGGTTCCGCGCATGTTGATACGGCGTTGAAGGGAGGGAATTCGACTGCTGAGAGTTCAGTGGGGGCCTGGTAGGTGCCTCTGACGACGTGTCGGTGGACAAGTTCCACGGCATAGTCGAGGCCTTTTCCGACGCTATCGGTGACTTCCCACCTGGACCGGAAGCCAATTTAGCATTCCCATGGACGTCTGAGATCATATAGCGATTCCAACGTTGACTGACAACGTTGGCCTCCACGAGGGGTTAGAAAGTGATAATTCCGCCGTGGTCTGAAACCGAATAAACGCCGTGGTGTGCAAGTCCACCTAGGAAGTCTACTCCGGTGTCCAGCTTTTTCTCCGTGCGGAATTGGTCTTTCGGTACCGAACGTACAAATTCGCGATTATTTCAGCCAACGGAAAATACCTTCGGACGAATAACAGACTGGGAAAAGCGAAACTCTGCGAGAGCGTGGTGCACGTAGGGGAGTCACTGCAGATACCGGCCGGCGATGGCGTAGCAGAATTGACCTGTACTGCTGCGGCCCGAGTAAAGCCCTTGTCTTTTTTTTTCACTGGTCGAGAGACGTCTAACAAAAAAGGAAGAAAAGTAATGGCGAGTAAACGAAGAGTGAAATTTGAAGGAGTCCACAGCGAGGGTGAATAGAATGTCCGTCTCAGTGGCGACGGAATGTCAGGGTGCTGATGGGATACTTTACGTTGTCGATCGCCAAACCAATAGATCGAACAGTGTTTTAAGGGGAGAGAGCGATACACTCTAACCGGGAAGGGCTCACTTCAAAAACCACACAACTTCCGGGGGGTAACAAGACCGGGGGAAGACAGGTTTTCAGAAATGAAAAAAGAATCAGAGTGGGGAACAAAAGAAAAAAAAGAAAAGAATCCAAACTTCCTCTTTTTTTTTCTCCTTATTTTCCCATGTAAGGACCAGCCTAAGATTGAGACCGAAAGGAAATGATATACGGGGGAGGAATGGAAAGATTTGGGGGGGAACGAACTTGGAACTGGGAATCGAAAGTTCGGCGGGAGGGGGGATCAATCACTCACTGTCAAGTCACTTTTTCCTCCCACTGAGATGGTGAGCCTGAGCCAGGGGGCAGTCAATCAGCGTTCAGCGGTCATCCTTAGTCACTTCCACTGGTGCAGCTTTAGTGACCTGGGTGGGCACCGCCAAATCCACGGGGTTAATCCCGACCACGCTTCAGAATAATGGAAGAAGCCACTAAAAATATAGTCCTTTTCGGAATCGCAGTAAAAATTACATATAAGACAAGTACCAGACTAACCACCTGTCCTGGAACAGGAAACAAGAGACAGGCATCGCTCTGTCTACGAGAAAGAATTTATAGAAACTTGAACTGTTCTGGCTGTAATTTAAGTGCATGCCTCATCTTCCAACCTTAATAACTCCAGTTATAATCCTAGTTTGATATCACTACAATTATTCGGGAATGAGGGTATATACATCAATAGAGAGAGATATTAGCTTGATTAGGGCTTAAGAGTCAATTACATTTCATTCCTCCGGTTGCTGCTACCGACATAAATTTTTTTTTTCCTTTTCATTTTTTCCCTTTTTTTTACCAGTCAATGTCTTAAGTATTATTGTTGGAATTACTATTACCACATACCACATCATTGGAGCCCACCTAGCTGAATGCCTGGGGCAGCCGTCGGATGTCCACGCCAGGAATGGAATCTATACTCTAACAGTCGTCCGACACATTGGAAGGGGGTCCTGTACAATCTCAATGGGAATTTTAATTTAACAACAATCTAGTCGTGACGATGTAACCACCTCATCAAATGATCCAATCTCCTTCAGCCACAATTAATATGTTAATCTACATAGGTCCCCAGAGGGCGATCCAGACTGGGTGCTCAATAGTACAACTCCTATTTGATTTAATCCAATGAGAGCTTCTCCAGTCTCATCTGCTTTCCTTTGTGTCAAGAAGACTTGCTAAAGTTACCAGAGAACACTCAATGTCGTCTGTCGTTTCATTGTTCCTCCGAGTCTCTCCCCCCTGAGCCCCGCGTTTGTCCCTTGTCTCTTTCATCAGTCCCCTGGGTCCTTGTCGGTCGAGGGCTCTCAGTTTCTATCAGCGAATGGGCCGAATTTAATGCGAGAGTCCCGGCACGTGTGCCGGGCCTCCAATTGAAACATTTAAGGAGCCGGCCCACTTTTGGCGGACAATCAAAACTTTCTTCCTTACAACGGGTGAACTGTTCTTGACTATATTGTCGAGTCTAGTCTCGCTTATGATTGTTTAGTCTAGTCGTCAACTATTCTGCTGCCGCGGGAATTATCACAACCAGCAATGCTCAAATTTACTCAACTTGGTCAGGCGCATGCCCCGCCGACTCGTCCTCAAAACGGATTATTCTTCCGCTCCGCACGCCAGCAGATGAAGAATGTGTATGTGTCTTAGACATAAGGAATCCTGTATTTTTAGTTCCCAGTGCTGCATAAGATCGGCGTATAAGTACTCCTCTCTCGGCATACTCGGACAAGGCAAGAAAGGATCCTCCCCTCGATTCTAAGTTTGGACCAACGACGCTGCCGGCCTTGCGAACAACAAATTCCGAGCTGAATAAGGCGAGAAATCAGCACTATTCAGCTTGCTCCTTCTCCTGCGTGCCAAATCTAGATCATCATCAGGCAGTGTTCGCCTGTTGACCCATGGGTGACTACCAAAGTCTAACCCGGTCCGGGCGGTCATAAGAGTATGTCCTCAAAGAAAGACAAAGCGGGAACTAAGCCACCAGCGTGATAAGACGTTTACTCCAAGCTCCGTGCGTGGACGTGATGGGCTTAGTTTGACCGGCCAAAGATAGACCTCGTTGGCGAGGGCTGCTTGTCAGCTGTCAAAAAATACCAAATTGACTTCCTGGCTTAGATAGCGACGCCTATATAAGTCGGGTTATTGCGAAACAAATCAATGGTGATCTAACCAACTCCAAGATATCCTCTAAGCCAAGTACAACAGCCACGTCGACTTGCAGGACTCGCTCAATATGCATGTAAGGTGGCAGGCAGCTTGATGCAGGTGGTCGCTAGTACCTTGGGTACGTCAGCATCCGTAGTACTACTGCATATTGCATGTCATCCAATAATAGCCGGATCATCACAACAATAGCGTTGGGATCTAACACAGAACCCTTGGTTCTTCCGATAGGTCTGGCATCCTCCTATAAAGAGGGCAGACCCCTCGAGATTCAAGAATTGGCCTTCGCACTAGTGATCGTGTAAGCAGAAAGTCCACCTTACCTCCAGGTATCTGTGACACTGTAGCAAACTCACGACGAGATTATGATTGGTGAAAGTAGACCGTATTTTCAGGCTAAGTGCAGGGGGCCTGAGGACACATCTCTTCCCACCTCTTAATATCCGAGCTCCTGGCTAAATACAATTATGCAGACCATAGAGGCTTAAGACATTAGAGTCATCGTAATAAAAAAGCATCTGGGACTGACAATGCTAAATACGGTCGCGCGTGAATAGTGAGCTCATTTGTTATTCTTCCTACATAACTTGGTATCACACCCTACCATTAAGAGATAGCGTTGTCGGATGTCATTCCTAGAAAGCTCAGGATATCAGCGAGGTGCGCTTTGGTTTCAGAATCGGGGTGACAAGTAGCTTATGTCCACGAGGCGCGGCATAAGACTGCTTGGTACCCACCACAGAGGGTGTACATTAAATAAGTGATGTACCAGTGAAACACAGTCCGAAGGCCTTGTTGTCACTACATCGCCTAGCTCCTCGGCTCTCTATGTCGGATACTACACTACCTCTGGGAAATCCTTCGAATCCATGCTGACCAGAATGTAGTGTACTCGGGATAAACCAATCACTAGGCTATTCTTCGTGCACAGTTTGCTCTAGAGCAGCCGAGTTGCAGTACAAGGGATGGTAGAAACGACCGCTGAAATCATTTCTGTCGAGATTGAGGCTATGTTTCGATGCATAGCTTGCGCTTGTATCATCTGGATATTGGTCCCCGATGTCGAAGGCGGCTTGCTATTCCTCGCACGCGTTTTGGCCACGATGGATGAGTGCGGAAATCCAGATGAGGATACCTTTGCCATCGCGGAGCTTACAGCATTCAATCCATGCTACTATTCCTGCAGTATCCGGACTACATCTTTTGAAAAGAAGAATATGATGCAGTAGTGTCCGTGGCTATAGCAGCCAAGTGTTAATCCTCAAGAATGGTAAATTGTAAACAGTTACCCGGAGTGAAACTAACCCAGTAGAGATGATTTGCCTTTTGCTACCAATCCATATCATCTACATTTTTACATTCCATCATATCGATTATAGCAGCATACCAAGGGCCAGAACATGAGAGAAAGGATAAGTAACAAACCACTGTTGGCCTGGGGGTAAGGGAATCGACCGTTCCTAAAGTGCCGGGGAATACATATTAACGGTGTACATAGCTTCCATTGGGCGGTGCATATCACTTCTATCAGAATTCATCTTTGAAGGTGACCAATTTTGTGCCATCTCTGTGGTTGCTAGTTTGGCCTGTATATTTGCATAAAATGTGCCTGTCATGTGAGTCCCAATCGATATTTTATATACTATACGATAGACAGAAGACGTAACCAAGACATTCCTTACTCATTGATCTTATATAAGTAGGGTCTTAAGGGAACAATCGTAAGTTATTGAGATTTCTGGAATCCTTTTCCTAATTGAGCCAATACGGTGTCAATTAACTTCAACTGTAAGAGCACTCTTATATGTTTGCGAACTTTGCCTCAGGACCAAGTAAAAATACCGCGTACACAAAGGTTGCACACCACGATTCTGGACATGCTAGTTACTAAGAATATCACAACCAGACGTCGGTGCTAGCCAAAAGTCAACATTGATAATATATTGCTTCTTAAATGTGTGTTGTCGTCATAGTTTAGGATAGCGTTTGAGAGCAATTCTCTCTACGTATACCGACTTATAGACGGACTTGAGTATTGTGAATTCAGAGAAGTACTTGAGAGGCATTGGAAGCAGGGTATTGAATTTCTCCCGGTGATCCTGGGAGTGAAAAGGATAAGGTGGTTTATAAATCGTTTGTCTTAGAAGACAAACAATTTACAGTGTCCACAAAGGATCGAGTTTAGATAGATTACATACATGCGTCGTACCTTTCGCAGACATATCAAGGAAAAAATGTTTATAGTCCATAA